ACCATTCTCACAAAGACAGATAGCAACCTTACTCTGCAGGTTAATAAAGTTCTTACTGATAATTCAAAATTACCCATTTTCCAAGCTGGTGGTAGGAGAAAGGAATCAATTAAAATGCAGTATTGAAGAAATTTGAACAGTTGTTTAAATAAAATCTTTGTGAATTGCTATTGTAGGAAAATTCTGTCATAGCAAATTATACTGATGTATTTTCCATGACACAGTACTCTTATCTTCTGTAATACTGTCTTGCTGTTTGTGTCTTCATATCCTTTTACATAGCACTTTTAATATTTGTATCATCTTAAGTGCTGTGGTAAGGGCAAATATGGCAGAAATTGAGCCACCTACTCTTACTGATATTTTGAAGAACTCCTCAAACTCTTATCTTCAAAATGCTTACTTGAACTAGCCATTAATACCCAACATGCTCCATTCTCAGAAGGCTTTGGGACATAACTGAAGAAAGAATCATGGAGAATTTGTTGTCTGAACTGACTCAAGGCTTCTTACACTGAGGGAGGCAGACTGATCCAGAAAATAATTTGAAGCATTTTCTGTGCCATTCTTTATGACTTCAGAACATGCTTTCCTGATGGTCTTTTTTGGAGGTCTTTCCCCATTTTTAACACCTCTCAAGAATACCTAAAATATCATCTTGGTAATTTCACTTTAATGCATTTATTGTCAGGTTGTCCTTTTCTCCCTCTGAAAGGCAAGCCAAACAAAAAACAAGTGTCAGGCCATGCAAGAAGTGATTTATAAATAACTGTACTGTTTACTGTTACAGAACCATTATGGTATTAATAGCAGGAGTGGTGACTTCTTTTGATTCCATAGTTATGAAGAAGTTAACCTATGCACCTGCATCATCAGTTGTTTCTTTTAATTGCTTTTAAACACAGATAAATTGATCTACAGCATAACATTTTTGTTTTAAAGTTTCTTCAAGATAATGCAATAAATAGTAGCGAAACTTGACTGTGTTTTAAAAACTAACAATAAATGTTTATTCCTTGGAGAAACTCTTGTCAAAGCAGCTTCAAAGACAACAGGCAAGTAAAGACTGTTGTAAAGACATACTACAAACTAACAATAAATTCCCAGAAGAATAGCTGATTCAAAGCTTATGGATATAATTGAAACTGATAATAGAAACAAGGCTATAAATGGCCATTTCATTAGATGAAAGCTCTTATGGTCTTACAAAATGCTGTAGAAAGGACTTAATTTGTTTTTCACATCTTTATATGCTACTAAGTTGTATCTGTCAAATGGACAAAAACATCTGATGAGTATTCTGTTAATTATACTAAACAAGTTTGCTCAGACACCGGTACTGAGCTTGAATCGTTTCAGAGTGCTTAAAAATATTGCTGATTAGTCGTAGGTTAGTAAAAAGGTAACTTAAGAAGTAGGCAAGAAAGTGAATTAAATTGTAGTCAGATTTTCCACAGGCTATGTACTAGGTTCCTGTAAGCTATTTGTGTGTATGAGGTATCTTTTAGTAATTTCATGGCCTTACCTACCCAAGTAAGTTTTTGTCATCAGGATAGTTAGATGCCAGCCAAGGTAAGCCACTTTTCGCACTGCAGCTCTCCTGCTAATGAAAGCAGCAGCAGTGAAATATGTGCCAGGGAACTGGACTTGAGTTCTTCAGAAAGCAGCTGGTGCTTGCTGTAACAGCTGGCCTGTGTCTTCAAAGGCAGCAACTGCCAGGAGTGGCATATCCCTTTGCTGCTTATTTTTGTATTTCTCTGTAACTTAGAAGAGCTGGTGATGCAGGACAGCTTAATGAAAATAATAAAACAGGGCAGGGTGGAGCTATAGAAAAGGACACAACAGACTAAGATTTCCTTTTCTTAAATAGTTCATTCAGCATGTTGCACTTTGATTTGTTCATTGTAAGGCATCGTACTAGTGTGTCACTAGCTTAAATATGCTTTTTTCTGATGTGGTCATGACTTACACAATTGTTTCAATTCAATCTTGCACTATTTCTGGTGCTCTGGCTTTCATTGTTGAAAAATTTCCTGTACTGGATGCATTTCTGCTGAATCAAAATGTAAATGGATAAACTGTACTGCCTTTGTCACATTTCAGTCTAGATGAGGTACAAATGTATTTTCTAAAATTCAGGGCTGCCTTTCAGCGATAAATTTGTGATTGATAATAATAGAATCACAGAATGGTTAGGGTTGGAAGGTAGCTTAAAGATCATTATGCATGGTCAGGGACACCTCCTACTAGACCAGGTTGTGCAAAGCCCTATCCAACCTGCCCTTGAACACTTCCAGTGATGACACCTTCACAGCTTCTCTCAGCAACTTGTTCCAGTGTCTTTACCACCCTCATAGTGAAGAATTTCCTCATGATGTCTAATCTGAATCCCCCTGCTTCCAGTTTTAAGCCATTGCCCCTTGTCTTTTTGCTACATGCCCTTGTAAAAAGCCCCTTCCCAGCTTTCCTGTAGGCACCTTCCGGTACTGGAAGGCTGCTGCTATGAGGTCTCCTGGAAGCCTTCTCTTCTCTAGGCTGAACAACCACAACTCTCTCAGCCTGTCTTCAGATGAGAGGTGATCCAGCCCTCTGGTCGCCTTTGTGGCTCTCCTCTGGACTTGCTGCAAGAGCTCCATGTCCTTCTTATGCTGGGGGCTCCAGAACTGCACACAGTACAGCAGGCGGGGGTCTCATAAGAGCAGAGGGGGAGAATCGCCTCCCTTGTGTAACATATATATAGGAGTATTCCATTATAAGCATGCCATATTGGATATCTTGTTGTATGGGACTTTGTTGTTTTATTTTTTACTTGACTCAGAAATCCCATTGTAGTTGGAAGTAACAAGAAGCTAAAGAATGGGAAAAGTTGGCACATGACAGAAACAGCTGGATTACAACAGAAGTTCAACCAGAATCCAATAAAAGAGTATTGAACTCTGGGAAGATTTTTTTAAAGGGTGAACTAAAGAAATTTTGAGCAGCTCTTACCTTACAGTAAATGGGATAAATCTAAGAGACAAATGCTGTAATTAAACTACAGTTAGTTGTGAGTCAGTAGACACAGCGGGGAAATCACCTACTGCAAATCTTAACAGATGCCAAAAGCATCTCATCAGATATCACTGTAAGCAGTTCTGAGATCAGTCATGTACGGTTACTACAAGAGAGCAAAAATGGGGGTGTGGAAGTGTGAGTTTGAATTGGAAATGGCTAGATAAATGCTGACTCTGGAATTGGTTTAAGGAAACCAAATGGTCTCTGTGAATTCAGGCAGAAGGGTCTGTAAAAATCTGAATCTGGTCAAGGCTCTTTCAAGTTGAGCATAGTCCCAGTGTTTAACCATCCTCAGTGCTTTGTTAAAAATTTACATCTGATCAGAATTTTCCATTTTTGTAATCATGTCAGTTACCTCTGGCCTTGTCTATGCAATCCCATTAAGTACTGCACACAGCAGTCCTTATGCTTCATAGTAAGTATGAAAGATGCAAAGAAGAAAATTACATTAATGCTCTAAAGTTTAATTGCTTTTTATGTGTAATCCTCTTTAGAAGCTTCAAGCCTTGCCATGTTGAAGACAGATGCTTACAGTATTTATAATATATTTATATTCACTTGCAGAAAATTTATCTTACTATGTTAGAAATAGAGTTACAATTATTTTATATAACTGAATTTATTTTAAAATCTGCACTTTAAGATACATCTATTAAGTATTGCTGTTGATATGAAGGTTAAGATAAATTATGAGACTTCAGTAATTATTAATGGCTATTACTGTTGGTTTTGTAGGTGTGTAGTGCACATAATGTGGTCTTTCAGTTCCACAAAAAGGACTTCCAAGAGAACGACTGGTAACTGGCTTCTGAAGGATCTTTTCTTATAAATGTAGTGCCTGATCAATGTGGCATGAAGAATTGTATTAATGAGCCAGCATTCTCAGAGTTCATGTTAATCAGGATTGTTAATAGGCCAGTCTGAATTTGAGATACACGTTATCATAAGTTGTTGTTAGTAGAGAATTCCTAACAGACCTATTTTGTCAGACCAGGCTTCCATAGGATTTTTATTCATAGCACCAATATTTTTGGTTTTATATGTGTGCCATTATCAGACCTTTTTTATTTGAAAGGGTACAGGCTCTTAGAAGCTTGAAAAATGCTGAGAGTTCTGCATCACATTAAGTAAAATATTTATCTTGCATATATGATGGGGCCAGTTAATGTATTTGATTGCTTTGTTCTCCCTGGGCCACTATGCTCCCTGGTTGTAATGGGGAGAGAAGTGAATGAGTAATTGAAGTTATCCCAGAATATGTACAGTCTGGATAATCTTATTTAAAAAAAAAAAAAAAAAGTTTCAACTGCAAATTATGCAGCATGGGGAATTTTTATGCTTCAGATATCTGTCCTGTTAGGAAAAAAATAAGACTAATAAAAGAATCTGAGAAGAAAAAGTGAAAGAAAGGAAAGGGATAGTATCGGAGGCGGGTTTGGTGTGGTGGTGTGGTTTGTTCTTTTATTTAAGAATGTGGCTGTTTCTGAAAAAATATTATTTGCAGTTATGAAAGTAAGGCATGGGTAAAGTATACACTCTTGTAATCAGTTTGCTCAGCCTTACATATAGCCTGTTTAATTTTTAGAGAAAATATAAAAATGTTGAAAATAATAATGAAATAAACACACATTTTGTCAGTACCAGCTACTGGCAGCAAAATTCTAAAGTCATGGGGAATTTTTTCATATTTAAAAGGGTTATAATCTAACTGAAAAGCTAAAATACAGATTAATTGCAGAATGAAATACCCCCTTCTGTTACACTCCAGCTTCCCGTGCACCAGCAAACCATTTACTGGATGCAGGCTGCTTGACTTTTTAAAACTAATGTACAAGAAAAGAGGAAATTACTTGAAAATTCTAACAGAAAAACCCACCCAAACCCACTCACAGCAGTAGAAAGAATATTCCAATTTTTTTCATCCTTATTTTTCTTTTCTTTGACAGTGACTTGTTATCTTCCAATTATGTGGAGATTCACTATGAAGATGGAAAACCAAAGTTTTCTAAGGTATTGTGCTCTTAAAATGCATAAGTATAGTCTTTCTGAAGAAACAATGCCAATAAAATGTTTTTAAAAAAATGTTTTGCAAGACTTTTAAAAGCACTAGAAGTCTTTTTCCACTCAAGGTAACTGTGATCTCATCTTGTAAGAATATCTCAGTAATACAAGTATAATTATACAAAAAAAACCCCTGTGTGTCAGGGTGAAGGGTAGGCAGTGGTAGGTGGTAGTACTGAAGCTGATCCAGATACTGTCAGAACAGTTACATCTTGAGAAATGTAGAGAGTGGCGGAGTTGAAGTCACTACCATTATGTTTTTCATTAATTATTTACATGTCCTTAGCACAAAGTGCAAGAGAAATGGATAATGGTAATATAAGACTTTCAAACAAACAAATAAAAACTTAAATTACTTTTATTTGCAAGAATATACAGTTGTGAAACAGAAAATAAAAAACTTAAATCCAGAGGTTAAGGTTTCAATTATTTCAAAACCAGCATACTGCTTGATATCCAATTAACTAAATTTGTCAAACTAGCTCCCAAATTGAATTCAGTATCATAGGTTATTGATCCAAATTGTTTATTATTTTGGTCTTGATATACAGAGAATCTCAAATAAGACTATTTCGCAGAATAGGGCAAAATTAAACAAATACATAGCAATATAATTATTGCAATATACTGTTTTGGTTTTTTACACTGAAGGAAAAAAATATCCTCATGTAATATACTAAGGAAGTTGTTTAATTTCATTAAGATTCAGTACTCTGCAGAACAGGCAAAAATGCTAAATGTTGCAAGAAAACAATTCCCTCTGGCATCTAAAGTAGCTCATGCAATTGTCAGCTGCAGCACTAGCATTGAGCACTGCGGTTGCTGAATCATGAATGTGACTGGAAAATTATATCAGAACTTTAGAGTCAGCAAATGGATTGCCTTTGCATGCTGCAGTAACTTGATCCAAACTTCCTAGGGGATGCTTTCTGAATTGATTTATTTAGAAACAATAAAAGGACTCCTGAGGTCACATTAAACTGTAAAAAGCTTCATTATAAGTTAACAAAATACACAGTTTGTGTAGTAGATAAATAAGGACTCCATCCTGGTCTATTGCAGTATCTTCTAATACTTTTTAGACCTGAACTAGCAAAATATTGTTCTGTTTCCTAATGTGGATATAAAGAAGTGAAATCTTGATGAAAAGTACTGTATTTTCTAGAAAGGGGCAATTTTACTACATGAGTGAAAACACCGCAACAGCAATTTCCTTGCTCAGATGGCTGTCTTTAAAAAAAAAATAAATTGAAAAGCTATGTGTGTGGGAAAGATAATCACAATTTAGTTATTAAAAAGCATGGCTTATGCATTCTCACCATTGGAAATGTATGCAGTGATTGCTTTCTGTTTAGTACTTTGTTTTAATTATGCACAATAGTCTGTTAGGAATTTCATTCAGAAACTGAATAGCTCATTAAGTAAGATGAAAAATGGAAATAATGCTGTGCATACTTAAACAGAGAGCATTTACATGTTTGGTTCTTCCTTGAGTTACAATAATTGCAGAAGGAATGGGCCTAATATGTTTGTTGTAATTCAGATGACTTATGACATCAGAATTAGGAATATTTTCATGATGAATGGTACATTTTTCAAACAATGTGTGACAGAGACAACCATACTTAAGGGTTTTTAACAAAAATTTTTGAGGATAATTTTTATCTTTAGTTTAGCTTTAGTTTTGAAAGACTCTGACGACCAGCTACTTACATGAGGTAGATTAGATCATTCAGTTTTCCTCATTTTAGCTTTACTGACATATAGCAACAGAATGTCAGCTTCTAAATTTACTGGTCTATATTCTTTAGAAGTCAAAGTAGTGCTCTAGAAAGTCAAGGGAATGTTTTTTTTATTTCCTTCTAAACATTCATAGCTTGAACAGTCTGTTAATGTTCTTGATGTGTTTTATCTGTTGGATAGAGAATAAAGACACTCTTCTTTTTTACTCAGTTGAACCATTTCTATGAAGCCAGTTTATTTTACCCTTAGTCATGATAAGTACTTCACAGTCTGATCAATTTATTCCTCAGCAATTTGTGGAATTCTAGGGAGTAGTAATTCTGCTGTCCAGCAATAAGAACGTAATTAATTTCTGTATCAAAATAGAAATAAAGGATTCAATAATTTGCCATGTGGCTGCCTGTAGTATGTAATCCTAAAAATATGGTAAAAATTTTAGGGTTTTTTACGTATTTAGCTATTTGCAATCAAATAATACAAAGCTCTTGATAGTGCATTAAACTCTCTTTCCATTACATGGAGAAATTCAACCATAAAAATATAGTGCATACAAGAAAACTAGAACGTTTTGAGAAAATAACTAATTGGGAAACTATGGGAAGAAAAAAATACATATTAAAAAATCTAGAGGAAATTATTTTAACACGAGTAATTTTTGTATGTGACTAGATGGTGCTTTAACAAATAATTATTTCTGAATAATTGATTTATTGTATCTTGCTGTTAAGATGTTCTAGGAGTTTCCTAGCTTCTGGGGTACGGAAACATGCTCTCTCTGACTTAAAAATAGTTGTTTTCTACAAACTGAGACTGCTTTAGCTTGATTCATGTAGGGTGCTCCAAGACAAAATGGCCAGTAGCTTTGGAGATAGAGAACATTTTTAGGAGGTGGGTAAATGTGAGCCAACTCTCCTCAAGGTGACCTAGGAAATTGTTCAGCAGCTGGGAGAGCTGGGATGAGTGCTGTAGTTGTTAGCCAGAGTGAGGCAATTACGTATGATGGTCAGTATTTGGAAAAGAAAGCTGCTGCAACTCTAGTTTGTGAGGATCCATCTTGTCACTGTGTTTTACGTGTGTTCTGAGTATGCTTGAAGTCCCCTTGAATGACTTAGCTGCTTCACTGTCCACTTTAAGGAGGGCTTAGAGAGAAGCTAGTTGCTACAGGAGAGCTCAACTTGGCTTGTTCTATGATGAAAACCAGGCAGATCCAGAGAACCTGTTTTTAATTCAGCGGAAAGCATTCACTAAAGTTTAGTTGGCATCTGAGCGAGGCTTTTCTGGATCAGAACTTTAAGATTTTATGTACCAGTTCTCCTCTGGAGTATTTTGGTCTCCTGCTTCATCCTGTTCCCTTCCATATATACATATGTTGCAATTTCCCTTACCTTCTTGTGGAGAAGTGGATGACTATACAGTTTATTGCACACCCTTTTGCTGGCATGTTTGGGTGTAATTCTATTCAGCCTAACACCCACAGTAAGCTAACTGTCCAGATCTTGCACTGCAGTGATCAGCAGGGTCTCTCTTACTTCCTGTCATTACAGTGTTTGAGAGCTGAGGCTTTGGATCGCAGTTTTGGATATAGTTTGCCTCATTTTGTGGTGTTTTTGTTTTGTTTTTCTTCAAGTTTCTAATATTTAAACGCACTTGTAGGTAATGTAAATGTTATTTTTTGAATCAAAAGTAGGACCTTGTCTAAAACATGATTGCTGGCTTTCTTATAGAAACACAGATTTCAAAAAATATTACAGCTTTTTGACTAATTTGTGTGTCTCATCTATTTGGTATTTTATGCTGTTAAAATCAAGGATTGGCTTTTAGTACCATTTTGATATGTACAATAAAAATCAAACTGTACGCTTTAGTGTTGCTAAACTGTTATTAACTTTCTTGCTTGTTCATCATTAGTGATATTGGTATCTACAGTCTAATAATATAACATTAAATTGATAAAATCTTAGTGAAACAAAATTGATAGAATCTTGATCTAAGCCAAATACATGCCAGGCAATTGATGAATGCTGTATCACTTGTAATTTTAACACCTGGAAGGCATCAAGAAAGTTCAGTGCTCATTACGTAATGTTTTAACAGAATCAATTTACAGCAAAGAAATGCACTTCAAAAAGATCAAGAATGCAGTGACTTCAACAAAAGAATAGCAAACATTATTGCTTGAAGATTCTTGTAAACTAGTCTTTATTGGGCACAGTTTTTCTCTTATAGGGCTATTCATTGGTATTTACTTAAGCTATCACTGCTTTCTCAGAAATTTTACCTAATGCAAGGTATTAATTATTTTTTTTGCCTTGGTTTTAAGAAACAGACATGAAATAAAGTTTAATTTTGTGTTTGTTCTTTAAACGTTATTAGGGTGGAGAGCATTGTTACTACCATGGAAATATCAGAGGTATGAAGAATTCCAAGGTTGCTCTTTCAACTTGTAATGGACTTCAGTAAGTGCACATTCTCATTTTTCAAACAAGACTATTAATGAATAATTACTCTTAAATATTATCTCTTAATATGTGAGGGACTGAAAGCCTCTAAGCCCAAACATTTTTCATGTTTTGAAATGCCAGTAACAGATTTGCCAAACTGCTAACATTTATTTGTTTGTTTGTTTGTTTCACGGGGATTAAAGTCTTTTGAGGGTGTCTCATGAGACCTTTGAATGTATTAAGTGCAAATAAGTCAGCAGGTGACTTATTATGGTAAAGAATGAACAAAACTTGTACGTTAGTGGTAAAAAATAGACATTAGTTGCCATGTAATACTACGTATCACTTCTTTTTCTCCCTATTCTAGTGGCATGTTTGAAGATAGTACTTATTTGTACCTGATAGAACCAATGGATCTGACTCACAGTGCCGTAAGTTCATTTTTATATGATTTATTTGTTTTGGGAAAGAGAGTGGTCAAGGAATAGCAAATTAAAGTATCAGAATAAACTGATAAGTGAGTGACAGTTCTCATGCATTCTTATGAAAAACAAAAACATTTAAAACACTTGATTGGAATTTATTTAAGGCAAGAAATGTTTAAGTATTAATTGCCTGAGATTTTGCTTTGCTTTTCTTTAATCTTTCTTTTTCTAGTTATTGTTGATAATTTAGATGTTGGGGAAAAACTAATAAGACTGTTTTCACAGCAAATGGTTTTGAACTGTCAAAAAGTATTTATCAGTTTGCTCTACTACTTAACCAAAGGACTTATAAATTCATAGGAGGGATCTGGAAGTAATTTATTCATCTCTGAATAGTTGGACTAGATTGCTACCTACCACATTTCCACAAAAACCTTAACAAAGTAGATATTTCATCTGGGTATCTTAACACTTTACATCTGTTAAGTTAGTGGTTGCTGTACAGTCTGCTGGGTATGATTCTGATCCAGCATGGTCAAATATATTACTATTTTGGATCAGCATTTAAGACTTCATTTATGCAAATGTCTTGCTAACTATAATTATTTTTGTACTGTTGAGTGTATTATAACACAGCTGTTCCTAAAACTTCAGATCTTAATTGAACTGACTCAGATTCATAGATGGTAGTAAAACCAGCTACATTTCTACCACTTGAATGGTTCACAGATTTGAGTGTTTTTCAGTGAAATGTTTCTACAACAGTGAGACAGACTTCTTAAGGTTTGTATCCCCCTTGATCTGTAGGATACATTCTAGATGGTGTGTCACAGCTCTCAAGCTTGTCCCGCTCTAGTGTTTACCAGTATATGACAAATAAAGTTATGCTGCAGAACTGATCCTTTTAGTGACTGTAAAGGTGAACTTACAGTCTGAAGAAAGATCTGCAAAATCCTGCAAACTCCTGACACTCACAAGAACTGGATCAACATTCAGAGGAATCAGTATCATTTGGATGTTCACTTATTGGGCTGTAAATGAAACTATAGAGACACAGGAAAACATTACGTCCAAAAAGATGTCTCCTTAGAAATATGACAGACCCCAAGTTAAGCTATGTAATGTATTTTGTTGTAGCACATATTCATAACTATTGCAAGGCTGAAAACTTATAGCACAGATAAAGTAAATTCATGGAGATGACATTTGTACAAGGGAATCCATATAGTAGGCAAAGGAGTATTTGACTGAACTGTTTTTTTGCTTGGGTGGACAAAGGTAACCAGTAACTCTCTCTTATTGTGGTATTTCAGTAAAATTTGGAAGTAGAGGAAAAAGCTCTAGTTACAAGAGATACCATCTGCCAACTCTGTTGAGGAATTCTTAATGATAAGACAGATTAGGTTAATATTTTTCTTAAAACTACAGAAGATAAAATAATAGAGCTACAGAGAGCTTTCAGAGGCTCATTTTTTAATTGTACAACATGAGATAAATATCTTTCACACAGCATGTAGTTTATTCAGCTTGGTGAATCCTAACTATAGTAGATGCTATATTAAACTCCCCCCCCCCCCAAAAAAAAAAAAAAATAAAATCTCATGACTGATTCTGCACAAGACCCGTTTCACTTAGCTGCCTGGTTTTGCAAAGTAGCCAGATACTGAAAACCCCAAAAAAGAAACAACCCAAACAAAAACCCAGAAAAAAATTTGCCATATTTTCCTCCAGTGTGTTATGTATTTCTTACGGGAGTTACAGAATGGAAGCATCCTACTCGTTGAAAAGAACTGCTTGTTTTGGCAGGCTCTGCAGAGGAGGTGTTACGGAAGAAAATATAACTGTCTTCTAGAGCAGATGCCAAAATGTGGTAATTTGTGGCACGTCAGACTTCTAAAGAAAATACACATTAAAAATCTTCTAGGTTTTAAGTGTTGAATACACCAATAAACTTGGGTTAAACAATCCTATTAAAGATAGCATATTGACTAGTTCCTTGCATTTTGCTGCAATTACAAAGGTGTATTTTTGTGATATATAGCAATAGTTACTTTTCATCTGTGGGAGCAAGCTATACTCTCTAATTTGATTTCTTGGAGTAAATGCTCTCTATTCTCTGACACTAAGGCTTTTAGAGGAGTTTTCTCAAATAATCACAAAGACATCTGTGATACTTCATTTTTGTGGGCCAGCAAATGTGCTGAAGCAGAGAGGCTTCATGATTTGCACAGGATTGCAGGTAGATTGCTTCAAATTAGTACCATGCCCAAATGGTGCTAGGGTTGCTTGCATTTTATAGCAAAAAATAATAAAAATTATAAATACTGAAAGAAATGCCTCGATTTTCACTTGATGTGATTACGTAGAAGAAAATGTCACTTATTTTTCTTACCAGGAAAATAGAAGTAGGCCGCATACCATCCAAAGAACTTACGGAACACAAGCATCCAAGCAGTTGCAGGACATTGGTATGTCTTTGCTTATGTTATGAGTTTTTCTATATTGGAAATAATTGTATATACAACTTGAAAAATCTGAATATTAGGCTAACAGTCTGTATAAAACTGCTGATTATTTAGAAAAAAATTGAAAAATAGATACTAATTTGACTTTTTTCACAATTATTGCAATGGAATTTAGACTTGTCAAAAAGCAGCTAAAAGATTTCCAACTGTTAAGACCTGTATTTAGCTTTCTTCTGCAAATAATTTAATTTAATTGATCATATTAATGCTATTGAGAACACGAGATGGGAGACATATATTCTATGCCCAGGTTATAATCTCTTTACCTCCCCTTGCATGCTTTAATTCTAACTTTACATTTCTAGATTACTTGAGTTTTGATACGAAATATTTTATTTTGTATGTATTTTTTTAAAATTAACTTTTCAATATCAAAGGTTCTTCTAATTTTGATGATCTTTACCTACTTTTGGTTTGGACAGTGTACATAAGTAGTTTAAAATAATGCCATGAATCTCTTAAATTGTAATTTGTGCAGAGACTGAATCTAGTTCTGAATGGCCCTTTCTGTCTGAACTACAGTGGCTGAGGAGAAAGAGAAGAAAGAGAGCAGTGAGTAGAAGTGTGACTCTGAGTTAAGACAATTTATAAAACCAAACCCACTAATTTTTCAATTATTTTAATGTTGAGAGAACATATGCTTTTGTAAATAAATACTGGTAGCTTAATATTGTCACATAATACAATTATCAAATTATAAACCAATAAGAGTATTCTTTAAAAATAGGTATTTGGAGAAAACTGGATAAAGTACACATCAGTTGAATGGAAGTTTAGAAGTGAAAATTATTCCAGAAAGTGATGAATTTCAACATCTGAGTCTGCTTGAGGATAAAGAATAATTTTGAATGAAGTCTTGCTACTTTGTAGATACCTGACTTTATTTTTGTTTCGCTTGTTAAGTAGCATGATTAATTAAAAATCCAAATAAGAACACCCTGAGTTGGGCTGTTGAGAGAACAGAAGTGGACAGTCCTCATGCGTATGTGTCAGAGTTAGGAGAATAATTGAGTTGAATAAGATTAATCCGTATTTCTTCACTGAGTTGCACACTCCACAAAGTATTTTTTGAGCGTGCATCTGTTTTTAGTAACTTATTTCCTCATTAAATCTATGACGAACAGTACACTAGGCCAAGAGTTTTCAGTGTTTGAGGTTTTTCTCCTTTGTGAAAGTAGGAGAGGAGGGGAGCAATGGTGGCTTCTGTGCTGAACCAAAAAGAATAGACTCTGAACATCCTTAATGATGTAACTCAGATTTCCAGCCAGTGTTTATCATAACTCAGTAAGTTCCTGGAGCTATGATTATTTACCCTAGTTGAACATCTGACCCAGTTTTTACAGGCTTACACACCCTATGTAATATTTATGGGTAATCCTATTAAGTCAGCTGCAGTTACTCTTTTACATCCCTACATCTTAATGATTTCTTAGAGAATTTCTTTAATCCATCAGGTATCTCGTGGTGTCTTTGAAGAAATGAAATATCTGGAGCTCATGATAGTCAATGACCATAAAATGGTAAGTATATCAATTCAGTGGTAAACTTCCTTTTGACTATAATTTGTAGGTTGTTGTACAGCACTGTGCTGCATCAGCTACTTCTGAGTGAACTATTTCATTTATCAGCAGCTGTTAACATTTGTAAGGCACTGTACAGACTGTAATACCTAATAATGCTTAATCTTACCTAAGATTTTATACAGTAATTATATACTCAAAATAAATCTGAAAGACTTCAGTATCATATGGATAATTTAATATGCTTATAAGCAGCACAGTAAAGCAACCATTTATGTCCAGAACAAAAACACTGACACATTCTAAAACTATCCTATCCTTAAAGTGTAATAAAGGGGTCAAAAAAAAAAAAAAAAAAAGAAAAAAAAGAAAAAGAGGAGGAGTCCACTTTTTTTTCCTTTTTGTCTTGAGTGATGACTGGAAAAAATCAGGCCAACATTTGTTGTTTCAGTGTTACTGCTTTCACTAATTATCACAAGTAAGGCTATCAAAGTGTCCATGTGCCAACCCTATGAAAAATCAGGAGAGAGAGGCCTGGGGAGTAATGAGTTTTGTAAACCTGAACAATGATTTAAAAACCCTTTTTTGAAAAGCATCACAAATTTTAATCCAATAGCTGTACTTTAGCTACAGCATATCTGTTATGAAAAATACTCAGTGTAGGTTTAGAAGATTTCTAGTAACAAAGAATATACTGCAACTGGCCGCAAGTGACTCTAAAACCAGCTTGATTGTGCCTCATTCTGAGCCTTGGTCTTGCTTCGCTTTCTGTACTTTTAAGCTTTTCTGCTTACCAGTAGAGGGCAGATTTCTCCTGCGGCAAGGTTCCGTGTTGGAAGAAGTATCTTAAACCTCTTTGGCCATTGTATTGTTAAGTGGTTAATATTAAGTATTTTCACAAAATTGTCCTTTTGTGTTACACTAAAGACACAGCTAAACGTATTTAATTAGATTGTTGCACTTTTCACTGACTTTGCTTAATTTCTCTTTTAGGAGCTGTGTTTAAACATATTATGTTGTGTATTGCTATTGATTTGGGCATTTAAATACTTTCATGAAAACCAATAATATTTTCCAAAGGATATTGTTTTGCCTTTTAACTTACAGGAATGCTTAGGATGGGCTCAAAACAAAAAAGCACAGCCACTCTTTTCCCATCCCCAATTATTTTGTTCTAGTATCATGGTTTCTTAGTGACCAAACAAGAGTCCACTGATATGGATACTGTTCTTGATGTAGGTCTTAAGTGGCCACTAGCACTGTAGTTGAAAGTGCTTTGTTTTGAGAAAATATGTATATGTAGTTATAGGGAAGGGGGTCTCCACAAACCTCTGTTGTAGAATCTTTGGGTATTAAAACCTGCTGTGAATTGCTGAAGCATTGTGGAACTTAACAGCACAGAACTGTGTATGTGAAAGTGAAATCTTTCTGCAGTCAAATGAGCGTCATCATCAAGTTTGGTGAACTTTTTATTATCTCTGTGGCATTTTGTCCATATAAAACTAGATTGCTTATCCAAAAATAACTTGAATTTAAAGGAATGGAAAATTTGTTATCTGATAATACAGTTTGTGTGTCATCCTTCTGACTTTTAATTTGAGAAACAGATTATTTAATTTTGAAAATGTGTGTTCCTGTTTTACTTTCATCTTTACACTAAGCATAATTCTGGAAAACAGGGAATTTGTTTTGTAGCTCTGTTTTGGGAAGGTAGTTCATAATCTAACTTATTTGATGAGAGTAGCTACTCAGAAAAGAGTCAGACCCTTTTGTTTGACAATCTCTTTCTGGATACTGTGTTTTGGAGTGGGAATAGGTGCCACTTTTTATGGAACTTTATAATGTTTGGTCATGAGGTGATGCGATTTGTTGCTTTTAACCAGTAGTTTAAATTAGTAAGACTTTTACCTCCTTTATTTATAGAAATGGAAAAAAAATTAAGTTAAAACTTAATATGTTCAAGTTGTTCTCTTTCCACATTCAAGCACATACTTACTTTTACTATGCACTACTTCTTCCTTTTTGCCTTTTGGTATAACTAATGCTACTTGTCATAAAAGTCTGGGGCTGTAGTAGAGACATGATGCCTTTGCCAAGAGCTGTATACAGGACAAAGAGTAAATGTGTCATCTTCATGTCTTACATCATGGAACGTGACTAGTGCAGTGTGATATTTAACTCATCAGGATAAACAGAATGTTAATGGGTAGGGAGGGCATCCTTTCAATTTTGAGCTCAGATTTATGTTCATCTTTGCCTGTAATTTTGTTTCAAACATTCGAACTCTGATAATCTGATTTAGATACTTAAATAGGGTATTTCTTGTGGCTAAATGCTCCTTCTGTAGATGTGAAAGGCTATCTAGCAGACATGGCTTCCTTTGTTTTCCAGGGATTCTTGAATAAGAGAAAAAGCTTTTTCTTTTCCCTTAATCTTTCTTAAACTATTATTTTTCTTTTCTTGCTGTAAAAATAAAGTATTAGTAATAAATGTTTAAGTTCTCACTGTGTTCTACTTTTCCTTTTAGTTCAAAAAGCACCGATCGTCAAATGCATACACAAACAATTTTGCAAAGTCTGTGGTAAACCTTGTAGATGCTGTAAGTATCAATGTTTCTTCTGAAAACATTATCACTGGCTTTGGTAATTTAGTGCTGTATTTAAGAAGTTAATGTTAGCAGATACCAGGATAAAAAAAATAAACAGCTATAAAAATTAGATTTAAAGACTTAATTCCAGTTCTCCTCCAGAAGAGTAGGCTGGGGTGAATGTGTAAGAAAACACCAAATTATCCTTGATGTTTTTCTCAAAGCTTGCAACTGCCAGAGTTTGCCCTTGGCAGGAGGGATTTCAGACTTGAAGGCACTTTCAGTATCTATCACTGCTTAAGAATAGGAATCAATTGAGTTTAGATTCATGAAGCAAATCTAACCACAAATGATTGAAGCTGCAAGTATAGTTCGCAGGATACTCGCATCTACTGGGAGAAAAAGAGATACTGAATAAAATTTCTCCTTTGTAAGTCTGTATCTACTGCCTAAAAAAATCCCATTGTAGTACATTACAGATACCATACATGTATCTGAGATTAAATTTAGGACAATTTCACATAGAGCTTATAAGCTTAAAGTTGTGGTAAATTATTTTTTTTCTCTTTTTGCTACACATGTAGTTAACCTACACATTTCAGAGCTGTGTTTGCAGTGAAAATAGAATAGATTCTCTAGTAGTGATGAATACAACAGCTAGCAAAATTCTGAGTCAAAGTGCCTTTCTGCATGATAGAATTAGTGCAAATCATTGTCAACAGTTTTAGTTCAGAGGAGGCAATACAGTCTTTGTTCTAAATATTGTACCTATGAAATACTACGTATACTGTATGTATATTGAAAACTTAGGTGAATATGTTTATAATACATGAAATTCTTGAGGTGTTTTTGGAATATTTTTGTGTGATGGTTTGAAAATGCCAGTAGTCTGAAAAAAGGTATAATAGCAGATAAAAATACAAAAAATTGAAATAGTATTTCTGCAACTTATATTGGACATTCCCAAAGGAAGCGTGACAACTTCATTTTTTTCTAATCTGGTCATTATTTCTTATGCATTGGAACTAAATTTATTTAATCTTCTGTGACTATTCCTTCTGTTCTTCCATTTTTATTTGCTGTATGTGTGTATACAAAAACATTCAGTTTCTCTCAGGTGTAGAATTTAGTCACCTCATAGAGATCTTGCAAAATGACATCTTAATGGCCTTTTCTTTAAACAAGGTTTAAAAGGGAAAAGGATTTTGGCTTTCATACACTTCCAGGTTTTCTGCCCATTTTTTCCTTCTGGTTTGCTTCAGGAAACAGTTTTCCTCTCAGCAAACACAAGTGAATTCTTTATTGATCTAGCCATATATAATTCATGTGGTTTAATTTTACTGATTTTTCTCATGTTTTTAACTATTTTCTGTGTATGGCCTCAGCTTGTTTCCCTCAGCCTGATGTGTATTAGTATTCTTTTTTCCATCAAAAGTTCCTGGACAAAATTGAGTTTAGCTGGTTTCTCTCTCTTGCTCTTACATTTATGGCCTTTTTTTTTTTTTTTTTCTAAGCTGAATATTATATATCGACTTTTTTATAAGGATAATGCTGCCTTGAAAAAAAAGGCTAGCATGCTTGTTAGTGCTAGTTTATTCAGTATAAATATCTACCATCACTACAGGAGGATATTTGCAATTGATTTTGGGTATTGTAGGTGTAATTTCACAAAAAGGTAAAGAACATATTTAATATGGAGCCTCATGAGAGTGACCAAATAACTTGCCTTTTGTGTATTTTATGTATTAGGCAGCCTATGGATTAATTATCCAGCACTTGTAAATCATAAATAAGTTTGAGCAGTAAGTTTTCTTTGTGTCCGATGTAACTTTTAATGGGCAGACTGTCTATTGCGGACAAGGAGTGCATCTTTTGTAAATCTACATGTTCTGAATAACCTTAATTAAATTTGACATCTTATGACCTGAACCTAAAGAGACCAGCAGTTTTATTTAAGAATTGAGTATAATCCACAAAGTTAAAATGGATATTTTAAAGCAATTTTGTTATTATTAGGGTCTGATTGTAATTTTCTTATCTATTATTACAGTGACATTAAAATTAATAGAAAAGTTAATGTTCCTTCTTAATTCTCACTAGCATTAAGTGGTCATACTACAAATGAAAATCAAGCATTATGTGAATTAAATTTTTGATATATTGAAGAACAGAAATTGTTTAATCTTGACTTTAGAATTTACTTTGGCTGTTCTTTTTCTTTCAGATAACCCAATGTACCGTAATATTTCTTCTTTGCTGATTTTTGTACAGGTTTTCTGAAAAATTAGTGGTGAAATTATTTGACCTGAGAATTTTAAAAGGGAGTAGCTCAAAAAAAGATCAGCAAGATTTTTTTGTTCTCTAAAACATTAAATTTAAGTTGATCAGAATATTAGCTTTTAAGAAATCCAAGGCAGTACCAGCTAATGTTTCCCTATGTTTCCTTCCTGCTTCATCCCTCTTGTCTTTCTGCTTAATTCTTTACTGGCTAACTGTGCATGTTTGACCCAGTGTTCTACTCCTAAGCCTGTCATGTCTGCCCTCAGATATACAAAGAACAGCTGAACACCAGGGTGGTTCTTGTGGCTGTGGAAACTTGGACAGACAGAGATCGTATTAATATTCACCCTGACCCTCTGCAGATGCTTCATGATTTCTCCAAGTATCGACAGCACTACATCAAACAACATGCTGATGCTGTGCACCTGCTCTCGTATGTACTGTTACACAATGGTCTAGACTAATTCAGTTTTATATACTTTTCTGTCTATTACTTTTATCTACTTGTCTCTTGCTTACTTTTTGGCTTGGTAGTCACTACATGAAACAACATCTGCCTTAGGAAGCTTAATCTGTTTTTTAACATGTTAGTCTATTTTTAATAGGTGTAGTATATACCATGGCCATGTAGATAGATATCTATAGCAAAATTTTAGTGTCTTTACAACCTGGAGACAGTGTCATATATTTGAAGTGTCTTCTGATGAGCCCTTAAGGACACCTAGTTTTGCTAATCAGGTGTGTCATTTCCCAGTAAAGAGCAGAAGAGGGCAGAACTGACAGTAATACATGTTGCCACAATAGCATTCCAGTTACTGTATTTATTCACACATATACCTGCAGTGATGATTTGTTAGTGGAAAGTCTCCTCCTTTAGAGTTGTAATTAATTGTTTTCTGAGACACAATGCATTGAGGGGAGATTTCACTTGTATTGCTAGACACATCAACCTTGAGCAACTGTATTTCTCTACTTCACAGCACAGTAATCAAAGAGGAGGAAGAGTGTGTTCCCCTGTGCAGTATAAAGATCTTAAGCCTTCTAGCAGCCTTCTCCTTTCTCCTAAAAGCAGGGGTTGAAGAATTTCCTTCAGCCTCTGTACAGCTGTACTGCTTTAATGCAGGCATTGCAACACAAAGTTCATTGATTTAAAAAAACAAAAGGGAAATTGATGCTGCTATTGTAAAATAATTTCATTTTCAAAGATTAGTGTAATTTGCTATGCATGCCCAAGACTGTACAGATTTATTACTATGCCTACGAAGTTAGAACAGGTATAATTTATAATAATTTATAGGCATCTTATTGAATACTTTATATATTCCAGATTACATCAACTTAACTAAATTAGCTGTTCTTTAAAAAAAAATTTAAATAAAATTATGTGCTAGATCAGTTCAGAAACTCCCCCCCATGTGATTGATGATAAATGAAAGGAGGCAGGGTTAAAGATGACTATTAAATTACTTTTCTTTTAGGGTATACTCGTCAGTCTTTTCATTTGGAGTTGAAACAACAACTTGAATTGGTTTGGATTAAGAGCATAATGAAAAAATTTGCAACACTGATACACTTCAGTACAAAATTCTTGACAAATCTAAATTGACTCTTTTTATATCAGTGTTCTGTTTGTAAATTTGAAGTTCCTTTTGATGTTAGGTGAGGCTTGATGTTAGGTGAGGCTTAATTTGCAAGCAAAAAATCATAGTATATGTAAAAGTGTGATCTTTCAATAAGTTCTTGGTGCCCAATGTCAATGTATTATTTTTTTTTATTTGTATTTGTTTGTAAGGAATGTGACATTTCATTACAAAAGGAGCAGCTTAAGTTACTTTGGAGGGGTTTGCTCTGTGACCAGAGGAGTAGGAGTGAATGAGGTAATTTTTTTTGCATGGCTAAAGGAAAAAAAATTGAAACTATGCATTATAACCTCAGAGACTCATAAAGCCCTTATATAGAGCTTTAAAGATAACTTACGAATTAAAAAGGATTTTCACAGCCAGCCTTCTTGTATCATCATTAAACTACTTCTCATTGTGCTTTTTTTTTAAGAAGCATTCCTCTTGTCTGCATTATTCTCTTAATAAGATCTTAAATTTCCTTTTATTATATTTGACACGAATTGAGACCCAAAAATCTCAGTCAGGAGTATTTGCAATACAGCACTGAACATACTTTTGGCTCTTTTCACTATAAGAAGCTTGATCTTCTGAGGTGCTGGTGACACGCAATTCTTACTGATTTTTTTAACATTAAAACTAGAAAAAATTGGTCCCTGTGTACATATATTTTTTAAATGTTAGTACTATTTTTTCTCAGTGCAGTGTTAAATCAGTAATTAAAACCTCCTGTTTTAACATGAGTTAATCATACTACACAAAATTATATTACTAATATGTCAAACAGACTCCTTTCTGTAGGTTAACCAGTGGACACAAATTCCCCTCAGGCAAAAAGAGGAAAATTTTTTCCATTATATACTCAGTTGTGCCAAATTTCCTTATACATACACAATTGTGATTGGCTGTGCAGTATTACTGAAGTAGTGGGTATGTAGTAAGCCAGAATGAGCCACAGTAATGTTCAGTGTGGTATTTCTTACAATAACCTCAGTAACTTAATTTTTTATTTGTTTTAATTATGCTACTCTGCTCCTCTTGAAATGCAGTACGGTCTTCCTTTGGCCATGGCACAGGAACTAGCACAAAGTCTTGCTCAGAACCTTGGAATACAGTGGGAGCCAGCTGCCAGGAAACCAAGTATGTACATGGACATGCAGTCTTCTTTTGTTCTCCTTAGCTGGATATGTAAACACTTGGTAATATTTGAAACAAATGCCAAACTTGCTGTAACTGTAGAACAAGAATTGCTTCTTTTAGAAATATATGCAGCAAAATCTGAGTTTAACCAAGAGCCACCGATTTAGCACTCATTTTGCAATAATCTTGGGGTATGTCCTGTGTCAGGAGGCTATAACTTTGAGTGTTGGTTGTAAATATAATAGTAAAAACACCATTTATTTAACTTGGAAATCTTTATCTATCAGAAAGAAATATGAAATTCTTATAGAAATATCTTTGACTTCTAAAAGTACAAAAATGCCCGATTTATAATTGAAGAAATAGTAAGAAGCTGAAACCTAGTCCAGGATTATTTGTTATCTTGCTGTGACTGAGGTGGCCTTAACAGATGTAGACTGTAGGTACAAAAGCTGCTGCAAAAGCCCTTTTTGGGGCTAAATAAAATTGCTTAATTCTTCTACTCAAATATTGTAAAAAAAATTGGCTAATTTCTCTCTTTGTTTCTTTAAAAATGTGAATGATAATGCTGACTTTATTTTGAAATCACTTCAGAGATCTATGAATTAGGAAACAATGTGGAAATGTTTAGGCAATGTTGTTTTGTAAAGCATCACTTTTGAATTGTATAGCTAAACTGTTTTCTATACAATTGTTTTTTGATTACAGGTAAAACAGAGTTCATACAATTTGTAAATGAGAATCTTTTATAACTGAAAGATAGGGGGGTTTAAAATGATAGCTTACTTTCCTTATTTGGATACACTTTATAGAGAAAGATTAATGAAAGAAATGCAATAGTATTTTTTTGTGGAGAAACAGTATGGATTTGCTGTAGTAACTACAAAACAGAACCTTTCTTCTTGAAAATACTACTTCTTTGGTGGACACTTTTTATGGATAGTTTATAACTCCTGTTTTACCAGCCATAAGATGTTGATATTTTGTTTTTATTTTATGAATTTGGTCACTGTTGACTTACATGCTATAGCTGTAAGTAAACTGTAAATCCATTTTCACTCAACTACTTTTTCTAATGAATGATTGGCTGATTTGCACATTACTGTCAGTAATTCTAAGCCAAAGGGAAAAAATGTGGCCTGTCCAAAAAGAATTCTCCTTCAGGGTGCTCTGTACATATTTTAGGGAGGAGGAAATGTAAACATGTGTAATCATCAGTGTGTGCTGCACATACTGCCTGTTTTGAAAGCATGTAGGGAAGAATGTTTCCAGCTATTTTTAGCTTTCTCTACTGCCTGAAACTTTGTTTTGAGTCTAAGAACATGCCCATGCAGTAATTTGAAAGTACTGCATTTATATTAAATACTAGTATCTCTTTAGGTGGGCTGGTTTCTTTTTTAGGCCTACAATCTGTACAGCCAGGGAACAATCTAATTATTGTGTGATTAGTCAAGGTCCATTTTTATAGTGAGTACTTTATGTTGATTGTAAACATATTTATAACTGCTTTCCTTTTCTGTTGTATTTTGGTCTTGTCTGAGCAGAGTGTGACTGCACTGAATCCTGGGGTGGTTGCATCATGGAGGAAACAGGGTATGTGATAACTATCAGTAACCAAGGCTCTGGAATGAGCTCATAGTTTACATTATGACATTAATTTTTATGTATTGGGTTTTGTCCATGTGTTTTAGTACTAACAAATGAAAAACTAGAAGCAGTTGGAACAAGCCAGACATAGATCAATTATTTCAATTTTCAGCAACTAATTCCCTTTGCTATTCACATTTTTTAAAGTTACTAAGAAATCATATTTTTAAGTGCAATGGAGTGTAACAATGCCTTGCTATACTTAGAATGATTGAAAAGTAAGGAATAGATATTTTTCATTAAATAAATCCAGTTATACTTTTACATGCAGCTAAAAAAGTGTTACACATTTTATATAAATGTTATTTCTGTTTTCCTCCTAAATTTTAATTGTTTCCCCCCAATTCCTTTAGAATTCTATTTTTGAGTGAACAGATCTCTGCTTCTGTTCCAGTGACTAAAAGTAGAAACCTGAAGCTTTCAGCAAGGGCTCTCAATCCTTAGCTAAATAGTAAAGTCTGAAGGGAAAGCACATCTATATAGGAGGAAACCAGGTTTCATTGTCCTGTACACTCACACACTGCCGAAGATTCTTTCCTCTATACTGTAAGCAATTGATTAGAAGAGGAAAGCTTCTGAAACATAGGTTTTTTGAGTCTTATAAATCACTTCTGTCAGAATTCTTGCCCACTGTGGAAGCTTGATTGCAAAAATCCCAGAGAAAATTAGTTATAAAAAAGACAGAAGGAACTTAGTTTCTTTGTATGGTATTAGGAAATAGGTTCTTCAGAAGAATTACTCTTGTAGTCTTGTAGACTTATCATCATCATGTGAATGCAACTGAAAATTACTCAGTAAGTTTGCTTCTGGAATCCAAAGTAAGGCATTGATCAGGATAGATTCTAGCTTTCTTCCTATGGTGAACTCATCAAGTTCATCAAGTATCAGCCTCAGAAGGAAATACCAGTAGAAGTTGTGGGAGAAAACTCTACTGTAGATAAGGTAATGATGAAAAAAATATGGCAGGAGCAGATGATAGTCACCCAGAAGCTGAAAAAGGATGTGACTGTTGAAATGAGAACATAGTTAGCTGCAGTGTAAAACCTTTTTGCTTAACGCCATGAGTGCCAGAAGACATTTTAAAATATGGAATTATTCAATGGGGAAATGTCAGCTAAGTAGCAGTGAACTGCTCAGAAAAGAATGGAGAACCCCCTTAGGGCATGGTTACCCCCATCTTTTATAGTGTGAGTAGTATTCATTCCCAGATCTCAAAACATGGCTAATAAAAATACCCGTTTCTATGTCAGAAATGAGTAATAAAGTATGTTTCCATCAGGCTGGGAAGAAGGTGGAGGTGAGGAAATAGGAGAGAGGTTTGTAACATCGTGAACAACACAGCAAATTATTACTGTTTCTTCCAGTGTAAGAACTAGAGACATGAAATGAGACTAGCAAATAGATGACAGAAAAAAACATGAATAAATGGTTCTACCAATCTGTAATTAAGCTGTGAAACGTCTTGCTATAGCAGCTTGTAGATACTAAAAGATTTTTGGCAAATTCAGGCGAAAAATACAATGAGCATTATTAAATAAGACAAAACAAGGCTTCCTTAGAAATTTGTTGAACCGAAAATTGTTGAAAGCCAGAAAAATATTCTGCAAGTAGTAGTGTAGTGCTCTGTTCTCTGCTTTTCCCCAGGCATATTCTGAGGGCCAAAATCAGACACTGAATTTGGGTACAGCAGATTTTTAGGCTGACCTTATACAGCTATTCTTACAGCTACAGCTGCTTTTACTTTAAAAATTAACCTTATTAACAGGATCAGATTAATTGAAAAGTTCTCAAGCCCGTGCATGAGATCAGGGATCTGGAATGTAATCTGTCT